GCGTGAAAAACTACACCGCATCACATCTTTTTTAATAAAAAGACTTTTTTATGAAAATTCAGCCTGTGGGGGACCACAGGCAAAATCTTTACAAAATTCTTCTGAGGGGGAGCACAGGTCACTTTTTCGATGGAAATAGTTTTTGCTAAGAAAGATGTGATTCGGTGTAGTTTTTCACGCTGATTCCGAATATGTTGTTTATTTTTCATTTCTATCGAGCTATGGTATTGAATTTCGCCAAAAACCAACGCATTTTTCGTCCTTTCACTTGATTTTGCCACCAAATGGGAAAAAACGTTAATTTTCTCAGCATTAAGAAATAATTTAGAAAAACTAAATAGGTACTTTTGTAGCTCACGATGTGGCAATTCTAATGAGGTAAGACACTTGCTTCTATCTTTTGTTACAAAAAACTAGATAGGTTTGCAAGAATACTCAAAAATACGTACTCTAAGGCATTTTCAAGCTATTATATTACACAGGATTTTCCAAACTTTTTTAGCCCTAAATCTAATCAAATAACATTTTCTGACTCAGTTTTTCATGCTGATTCAGAATACAATATTTTTTAAACGTTTAACAAAACAAACGTCTTCGAAATTTCACAATCTCTGTAAAAAAGTGAACGTTTTGTTAGATTTACTACATTTGTAGTCATTTAACTTTTGTACCGTTTTTCTCAGCGAAATAGCGGTCGAATCGAAATAAAAAGTATATATTCGTGACCAGCTTTTCAAGCTCTATCAAACCATATGTAAATGAACAAGAAAAAATAATTCACTGAAATTTTGCATTTTCGCTACCTTACTTCTCGAGAATTACTCACTGATAAATGGCTATTCGATTCGGTTCCTGAAAAAGAACAATCTCTGTCTTCTATTCACTCTAGTGTGTGACATAGTGGCATGGTTCAGTTGAGGGCTGGTAGCAATCGCAGTGCCTAAGTTGTCTTTCAAAGTGTTTGAATGTGATCAGCACTGGGATAGTTCTTTCAGAAAAGGGTCAGCGAATCCAAAGGATGAGCGCTACTTGTAAATAGTATTTTCAACTACTATGGAAACTCTTATATAGCAAAATTTGTCTAAAATCTTAAAAACCGCTGACGTATCTTACAATACTCCGTTGTGTAAGGAGTGAAAGTCGTTTATGAATAGCAGGCATCTGTGATCATGCACAATCCTCATGATATTGAATTATATATTGGGCTCTTAGTGTTCAACCTGATATATAGTAATACTATCGTATTGAATTTCTTTATTATTTAGCAGACTCATCAAAATTCTAACATCCAACAAACTAGTAAAAATTCATCAATAACGAAGGGCGCATTTTTTTATTTGATATTTTCTTCACAGGATACTAATGGAATGAGTTAGAACGGCGAAACTTTCTATACAGTATCACAACAACTAACTCGGATATATTATGTAAAAAACTCGATAAAATGCAGTTCCTCTGGCAATATATAAGAAGTTACGAGAACTTACTGACTGATCTATGTACTATAAATTGATTACATTCATACTCATTCGAGTTGCACTGGCACATACTTAACTTTGCCTTCATTTCTTTAGTTATGGCATGGTTCTTGTCTTGCTTGCGAGGTTTGTGGTACATCTTTGACCAATGAAACAATACGAACAGCGGACGGAGTAAAGCCATTTTGTCCGATGTAAGTGTACTATCGTTTCTGTTTCATGAAACTAGTCAACGATAAAACGTGGCTACACAGCAGTACCATCTCTTTCAGGCATTATGCAACAGATGATCAAATAATTATTGATGAAGGGCAACATTGGTTGAATAAGAAAGAAACAATCACGGATACTTCAACTGCTGAAGCAGATGAAGTTGAATTCAATAATCCTGTTCCGATGGTAGGTGGAATAACTCACCATAAAAAGCGCATATACTTTATCTGTATATCAACAGGATACTGAAGACGCTGCAAAGTCGCGGTCTACATTCGGTATGCATAGTACTGCACTAACAACGCAAGTTACCGAAGGTAGTGATTTTCAAACCATGCTGTCAAGTAAAGGCGCGACACGTACTTATTTTTTAGAATTAGCTGCCAGAAACATTGCACCAGAGTTGTGGTCAATAGATCAAGTATCTAGATGGCTTTCGTCTGTTGATTTGCACGAATTTAGTGAAGCCTTTAGACGTACGTTTTCATCGTTTTTTTTAAAGCGAGAAATAGACATTTCGTACTACCTTTTCATTACGGTCTCCTTGACAAAATGCTCGTTCACGATCTCTTGACATGAGAAACATACTTATTATTCGTAATGAAAAATCAGGGTATCCGGAACTGAATTTGCTCAGAAACCGTAACGGTCATCAGTATGTTCTTTGAAGAAAAACGTGTTAGTAAAGGGTGACCCACGAAAATCACCGGAAGATCATAGTTTTGAATGCATGAGACCATAATGAAAAAAGACAGAATGTTCGTAGTTATGCTCATGTATACTCTTTTGTGTAACACGACCTGAAAGAGAGTGTTGAAGTGTTTAAGAGGAGAAATTTGGACCCGCTACCCCACATCTCCTCCACGGACTGTGACAGAGACATAAAAACGGCATAAGAGATCGTGACAGAATCCCAAAAATACCATCACAGACCGTGGCAGATATACATTTTTATATCATTGCAATTAAGGGCTATAGTAAAAGGAAGAAAATGACAATACGTGCTAATACGTTGCCCCCTTGTAGTCTCCCCTCCCTATTTTTATACTATATCTCTGATGCAAAAAAAGTTGCATTGTGTGCTAAAGACTTCGATGAATTCTTATAAGAAGTCGTAGCAAATGGATTAAAAGTACTATGATAGACTGTAAAAGAAAGCTCTTCACCAAATGCTGTTCATATCAAACTATTCAAACGCAAATTTATTGTGACTAACAGAAAATCTCACTAGAAGGCTTTCATAACCATAAAACTCGATGGAAACAGAAGAACTGAAATGACCGTGTTTCACATTTTGAATCCCGTAAGAGACCACACTGAAAGCTTTTTTAAGAGATATTAAATGATTCAGTAGCATATATTTTAAGATAGTAATAAATCCACATTATAACGGACAGAATAAACCTTTTTCAACACCAAGCAAAGATCTCAGAGGAGAACACAAAGAAGAACACAAGAAACAGCATAAACAAACAAACAGATAAACACTCACCCTCACTCTAAAGGTGCTTTCAATTGCTGGTCGCATTTATAATTCGATTAGCTTCGTGATATCGACACATTGTTTTATTTATTATTTCAAATATGATGACAAAACCATATCTTTTAGAAAATGAAATTGATGGTTCACTGCTATTGAGTGATGGTTTAGATGACGGAATCCTGACAAAGCTAATTCCTCAAATAAAAAGTCAAATACGTTTCAATGCGGAGCGTAAAAAACTCAGGTAATACACCACATATTTAAACTATTTCTTGATGTTCTAAGTGAAAAATTTTATTCAAGAACAAAACAACAAGAACAAGCATTGACAAACCCAAAAATAGGTACTGATGATATTCATATTAAATTACAATCAGTCGCCATTTCTGACACAGTACCGACAAAAGTTTGTGTTAACGATAAAAAAGTTCTGTTACTATCTTTAGTTAATTCGTAGGAAATATCGTCATCCGATTATAAGAAGTCTTTCATTGTCTTGGACGCACAAAGCAACAATATCCAAGGGTGGAAATCTTTACCAGCAGGTTAGTAGAAATGTTGTCTTCTCAACCGAAAAAGAGTCATATGAAAAAAAATAGTTAGTCTGTTCGTGATTGGTTGAGTTTGTGGTAGAGTTAAAGATCAGAAAAACATTAGTTTTCAAAATATTCAAAAGACAAAAGAACATTACTGGAAGTGGATTCAAAAGTTAAGGAACTATTTTTGAAAATACTTGGCGATTTTAAAGTTAGCTTATTAAAACAGTCCATGGTAACACATGTTCTTTTGATCCGAAGTTTTCGACTAATCGAATTCTGTCCCAGTCTAGCTCCATCCAGAAATGTTTGAGGAGCGTCATCAGATGTCTTTGGCCATTTTCGTAAAACTAATCATAAATTCTTATAACCAATCCTGTAAAAGTATTCAGAAATCTCTATACCATGCTCCACAGAGATACCCATAGGTTCTTAACAGGTATATTATAGAAATACACACTAGCCCTCACTTTTTGTCATCGCCGCGGTACACTGCGGCAGCGGCTATATAAGATTTTTTAAAGAATCATGGGTTCAGACATAATTTCGATGTTGGTGCATACTCCACTGAAAGACTTGATGAGAATGATCGATTAATGCCAGCAACTTTGCTTTAAACAGCTCCAAGTCTTGGAAAACTAAAGATTTTGAAACGTACCATCGTGATGGCGGCACGGTAGCTTTTTCGAAAATTAACCGCTGTGCGGCTGCAGCACATTCTCAATTATGATGGGCATCTCTGTTCTGAATATATACATAAGATGACAGCTCAGAAACTGTGCGTATCTCTATAGTGTAACTTCAAGATCAAGTGAAAACTCCACAGTAAAGCCCCGCCCCACCCCACCCCACACACAGCACACCCAGCCCCACCCCCGCACACCAGCCCAACCCCACCACCCGCCC